AGTATTAGAAAAGAAATACCCTATAGAATCAACATTAACAGAAGGAGTATTAAGAATATCATTAATAAGCAAAATCGTAATAGATACTGAAATCAATAAATTATCATTTAAAGATAAAATAACAGAAATATATATTGCTGGAGTGTAATTATTAGTAAAAAGCTTATTTTCAAGAAGGAAGAAATTCACCAATAGAATTATTAATAACTGATGGAAGAATAATTAGTAGTGTTGAAGATAGTATTTTAGGAATATTAACTGGAAACTTAATATATCAAAACTAAAATTTACAGTAAACACTAATTTTGTATTTCAAGAGTTGATGAAAATATGAACAAAACTTTGTTAATATATCATAAACTAGGAGGAATAAAATTATTACCAGGATCAAGAACAATAAGTATAACTGCTATGATAGGATTAGTATTTACAAATGAACATAAGATTTATAAAGAAATAAAGGTAAATTAACAATTGACAAACATTTTATGCCTGTATTACAAGAAATGGAATTAGACCCAACTAAAATAAACAATACCTGAACAATTAAGATTAGAATTAGATAATACAATAGGATATTATGAAAATGAAAATAATTCAAGAAGATTGATAACCAATGACAACATAGGACAAAGAACATTGAGAATAAGTACACCCACATTAAATATCAATATAAATCAATCTAATATAAGAAGAAGTTTTAGTTTTGAACTAAGACCAAGTACAAGTAAAGGAATGCCTAGTCAAGAAAGATTATTATTAAGATTTAGAACTGAGACACCTATAAGTTCAAATTTAGAATCAATAAGACCTAAAACACCAATAGAAAAAACGATTTTATAGCTATACAAATAAAACAAGATGCTAATTGGATAGGTGTAATGGCATTAGTAGATCCAAGAGAGCAAAAAAGTACAATACAATTAGGACTAACAAATAATAATCTTGAAATAACAAATAAAGGAGATAGAACAATATCTATAATAAGAATAAATGAAAGAGATGTGTTTAATTGTAAAATTTTGGGTAATAAAAGATAATAATAATCAATGTAAAATAAACCTAGGAATAGATTTCTTAGAACAAGTAAAACCATGGAGAATACAACAAGAAAGAATTATGATAAATATTAATTATCAAATAATTGTAATACAAAAGATAAAACTGATATGACAAAATTATATTACATATTGGTAAAATTTAATTATAAAAAATATAGATCTAGAAAATATCATGCTTTAGTTGATACAGGAGCAAATATTTAGTAGCAAAAGCAAATGTATTACCAGATAAATTATGAAAAAAGAAAAATAAAATCTTAAGAATGTAAGGGGTAGGACAAGAAATTAATTGTATTGAATTAGAAGCAGAAAAAATTATGATACAGATAGGAAAATATGATTAAAAATAAGAAAATTAAATCAATATAATGATAATTCATGTGATGTAATATTAGGAATAGATTATATAGAACAATATTATCCTTTACATATGTTTGAAAAAGCAATAATATTAACAACACCTTATAAACATCAAGCATGGGGAGTAGAGTAACTAAACCTTATAGTAGAAGGGATGAAAAATTTCAAAAGAAAACAGAAGATTATAAAGTACAATTCTACCAAATAAAAAACCTTTGTATAATAATGAAGTTATAAATTCAATAAAAAAAATTAAATACTACAAAAGAAATTAAAAGAATTGAGCAAAGATTATTAAAAAATTATAGTGATAATCCTTTAGTTCATTGGGAAAAATCTAAACCTTTAGCAAGATAGAATTAAGAGATTATAGTAAAGAAATAAATTGTAAACCATATCCATGGACAGAAAATGATAAAAAAGAATTTATTATACATATTAATGAAATGACGCAATATGATTTAATAAGAGAAAGTAGATCTGAATATTCATCAGTTTTCTATATCATTTATTGTTTGTGCATATATTTATTTTTATATTATTTTGAGGTTTTAGTTTATTTTTCTTACTAGGTTTATAAGTATAGTTTCCTAACATAATTTCGACAGCTCTATTTGCACTCTCCCCATTCTTCTTCATCTATTTCATTTTCTCCTCTTAATTTCTTTTTATTTCTTCTTCTAGTTTTTGTTTTAAATATAGATAATATAACATATATATATATATATATTTCAAAATATATATGTATATATATATATTAGTGTATATATATATATAATATGTATATGTGATATCCATATATGTATATATATAAGATATATATGTATATATATAAGATTTATCATGTATTCTAGTACCCTTCTTATTAGGAGGAGAAGGAGCTAGTATCAGTAATCAAGCTAATGGACAAATATATTTTTAACGAAACAATTAGGTTGTTATATAAATAAAAATATAAAAAGATTTAGAACATTTATTTAATAAAAAAAAAATAATAAATATGTTACCAGAAAAAAGTACAAATAATATTAGAAAAATAAAATCCTAGAGAAAAAATGAAAGACTTAAATATACAAAACCTTTAGAACAAAAAAAGTATATGAGACAGCAGCAAAGTGCCGGCTCTTATCCCCAGGATGGCCATAAGCGGGATCGGGTCCGTAATGTTTGTAGTTGTCGAGAGGCAACATGCGTAAAAAGTAGCCCTGAGGTATCTACTGATACTGTGCCTCGAAGAGGTCTGTCGTCATTATGGTATCAGAGCAGAAAGTCAAAATTATGTTAAGAGGAAGATA